GAATATTAACAAGAAGCAGTATAACTGGAACAACTAAAACTGGTAGCTCGATGTTCTCAATCTCATGCTTGATGTTAATAAAGAAACTTTTATCGTTCACGATGTTTTGTATTTTCTTTTCATTGTTTGTCCGCATAATATGGGAACATTATTTATGTGGTTTTTTCACATTTTTACCAGGGTGAAATAAGATCTGATAAAGTATTATACCTGTGGCTTTATATATATTTCTGTTGTATTTGTGGGTTTAATGAAAGCCAAAAATTATCTAATGGTTTATCTCCGAAACTTGCTGTAGAACGCTCTTGAGATGCTTCTGCGTACAAATTCGTTCTTCTTAACAAGAAGATGTTTCTCGAAGGAGTACCCGTGTAGAATTACTCCTGGTGAATATAAAGCCAGGCGGTCGAAGTTATTGGTGGCTGCAAGAGAACAGTTGAAGAATAATGGTGAAATGAAAGCGTAAAAGGAACAATTCAGATTTTTTAGATAAAGATTTCGTAATTTTATCCAAGGGGGCTTCCACTAGTTTCTTAGCTCCTGATGTTCCTCATACCTTTAGACAACTAAGCCATTTTCGGTAAAAGTAGATTTTACAATTCATAAGAAAGTAAATTTTTCAGATATATTACTGGTATAGATAATGTACCAGGTTGTTCTTATCTTTTTTATTCGTCTAGCACTGGCCAATCTAGACGTATTTTATTCATGGACAAGAGAACAGAATATGAGGAGTTATGGGAAGGCTCTCTTCCTTCATGTGAAGAATTAGAAAAAATGGCTAATTTCGATGAAGTATTACCTACCAAAGAAATTTCTACAGTGAGTCAATAGACTAATCTCCAATTACAATGTTCCTAGATTCTCCAAAAAATGATAACAAATCAAACTGTTCTATTTGCGGAAGCAAACCAGTGGTCCACAAGCCAAACCTCAAGTTGCTTTTCTAAAGCTTCTACTCTCAGGGCATTGAACCCATTGGTAGGTATCAAGACCAGAATCTCGCTATGTTGTATCAGATTGAAAAGTTACGAATCATCAAATCACCTGATGAAATATTGGCTATGGAGGATGTTTGTAAATTAGGATGTCAGGTAGTTCGTGCAGAAATCATGAATACAAATTAACTAGATGATGGCATCAATGATAGCCAACTCCAAAAATGTAGAGTCTGAAAGAACGCTGGTCGGGCTATTAGAGTATGAGTCTAGAAGGTAAAAATGTTTTCCAAGATTCTCTTTCATTAGAACATAGACGTGGAGCAGAGCGTTTGGCATACCCGCCTGTTGTTGCCGGTGGATTACGAGCCAATACTATACACTATCTAGCTGCCAACAGTATTATAAAAGAGAAGTACTTCGAGCTTCGATTAACAAAAAAAATTATGAGTTTAGTGAATGTATATTAGTAGATGCTGGTTGTGATCTGAATGGTTATGTCTCGGATATAACAAGATGCTTTCCTCAATCTGGACACTGGACCGATCCTCAAAGATCTCTTTACGAAGCTTTACGTTATGTTCATGAGAACCTTCTGCAATTTTCTCATGAGGCTGAAAACGTTAGTTTAACTGTTAGTGGGCATATCAACTGCATTATTCATTAAGATACGTTTAAGTACAATTTATCACAAGATGAATGAACTTCTCGCATCAGTTTTAACTGAAGTTGGTCTTATTCCTACAGGAGTTGGGAACAAGGAAGCTATCAAAGTAAGATCATAGTACGATTTCTTCTTAATATAAGTAGTTTGCGGAAGAGTTGTGCCCACATCATGTGAGCCACTACTTAGGAATGGACGTTCATGACTGTGCATCAGTTTCCCGAGATATACCTCTGCAAGATGGTTGTATTTTCACAATAGAGCCCGGTAAATCCTATTTTAGATCTTGAAGATCGAATTTTTGTAGGTATTTATGTACCACGTGATGCGAGGTATCCAGAGGAGTACCAAGGCATTGGTTTCCGTATAGAAGATGACATCCTCAAAACTAAGAATGGCATACGAGTATTAACAGACTCGTTACCTAGATTAGGCCAGGATATCGAGAATTTGATGGCAAATTAAAAGCAGAGTTCAATAATAAAATTTGATGCCCATCATCATCATGAAACAGAACATTCATTCAAGAAGCTATCAACGAGCTGCAAAATTTCTTATCAACAGCAAGCACCATTTTTAATAAAGCAGTAAGTATGTAGAGTCATAGACAGGATACTCTAAACATCAAGCGAAAACAAGAAAAGCGGCATTAGAAGGCTTTGGAAAGATATGATTAACACATTTTGCTA